AGAGGAACTGTCCTCAGTACCTGGAATCCAAGAGACAAGGTAATTTTGAATCCTATGTCATAGAAACCAATTTGTTGGTAACTTCTGCTTCTTGGTGTATTGACTCTATGGCTTCGACTCATGCGTGTAACTCACTGCAGGGGTTCAGAATAAGCAGGAGACTGAGTGATAGAGAAGTAACTCTTTACTTGGGGACTTCTGCAAGTGTTGCAGCTACAGCTATAGGAACTGTAAAGTTAATTTTCAGAGAATGAATTATTTTACTAAAAGATTGTCTTTATGTACAGAACTTGAGAAAAATTTGATTTCTCTTTCAAAATTGTGTGCGGATGGATATTATATTCTTTTTAGTAATACGATTACTATCAAAAGAAATAATCAATTCCTCGCACACGGAGAACTTGAGAATGGTTTCTATGTTCTCCATCATTCTCTAAAAACTAACATAACCGAAACTACGTCTGATGACATCCCAAAGAAAAGAACTCGTGATACAATTAATCCCACGTGTCTRTAGCATTACCGACTTGGCCATATTAACATAGATCGTATCACGAGGTTGGTAAAGGATGGTCCTTTAGATTTTCTAGCTGTAGAAGATCTTCCAACCTGTGAACCTTGCCTTCATGGTAAGATGACGAAATGGCCATTTAACGGTAAGCCTGAAAGATGTACATGCACGCTTGACCTTATACATACTGATGTATGTGGTCCCATGAGTGTTAGGACACGTAACCAGCACGTTTATTTTATAACATTCACTGATGATTACTCTCGGTATGGTTAYGTGTACCTAATGAGACACAAGTATGAATCATTTGAAAAGTTTAAAGAGTTCAGACAAGAGGTCGAGAAGCAGTTAGGGAGAGAAATTAAGACCCTTTGATCGGATCGAGGTGGTGAGTATCTCTCTAATGAATTCAGGGACTACTTAAAGGTCAATGGAGTATCACAGCTAGTTCCTCTTGCTACACCACAACTAAATGGTATGTCAGAGAGGAGGAACCGGACTTTATTGGATATGGTCCGATCACTTCTCGTACACTCCGAGTTGCCCACATTCTTTTGGGATTACGCATTAGAGACTACGATATACGTGCTGAACCGGGTTCCAACCAAATCAAGTCTGAAGACTCCCTTTGAGCTTTGGACCGGAAAGAAACCAAGTGTAAGACACTTGAAGATTTGGGGTTATCCGACACATGTTAAAAGAATGAGTGCGGACAAATTGGAATCCAAGACCAGTCGTTGCCTATTTGTAGGCTACCCCAAAGGCTCTATGGGTTACCTATTCTATGACCTAGGAGAACAGAAGGTGTTTTGTAGTCAAAATGCCCATTTCTTGGAGGATGATTACATCTTAAACAATCATCGTCAGGAAGTTGTTCGTGATGAGGTGTCCCACTAGTGGGAGGTGTCCCACAAGTTCTAGGTAATGACCAACCTAGAAGATCTACCCAAGTTTCCAGGCCTCCAGTCCATTTCGGCTATGACTAGGATAGCTACTTGGTAGAATCCACAACTATTGTGAAGGATCCTGTGACTTATACGAAAGCTATGTTGGACATAGATTCCTTGAAGTGGATAGATGCCATGAGAGCTGAGATGGACTCAATGGAGACCAATGGAGTTTGGACTCTAGTTTATCTGCCCCCTGGGGTAAAAGCAATTGGTTGCAAATGGATCTATAAGAGAAAGAAGGGCCCTGATGGTAAGGTTAAAACCTACAAGGCTCGTCTTGTGGCAAAAAGGGTACACTCAGAAAGAGGGAATTGATTATGAGGAAACCTTTTCACCGGTGGTCATGCTTAAATCCATTAGGATCCTGCTAGCTGTAATAGTATACCATGATTACGATATTTGGCAAATGGATGTCAAAACTGCATTCCTGAATGAAGATCTTAGTGAAAATATCTACATGCAGCAACCGTAAGGTTTCATAACTGCAGGTCAAGAACATATGGAATGTAAATTAAATATATCCATATATGGACTTAAGCAAGCTTCTAGGAGTTGGAACATCCGGTTTGACTCTACCGTCAAATGGTTTGACTTTGAGCAAAACCCGAATGAGCCCTGTGTTAAAAGGAAATCCAGTGGGGATAACGTTACGTTCTTGGTTCTGTATGTAGATGACATTCTACTCATTAGGAATGATGTAGGAATGTTGACTACGGTGAAAGTATGGCTTTCACAGCAATTCTCCATGAAAGATCTTGGAAAAGCCTCCTATATACTAGGTCTTCGACTCTATAGAGATAGATCGAAGAGGATAATAGGATTATCCCAATCTGCTTATATTGACAAGATAGTCAAAATATACAGAATGGAGAACTCCAAGAAAGGAAATGTTCCTTTCAGGCATGGAGTCACTCTCTCCAAGGGTATGTCTCCCAAGACACCCGAGGAGATTGAGGGCATGAAGGATGTTCCCTATGCCTCAGCCATAAGAAGCATCATGTATGCCATGCTGTGTACTCCTCCTGACATCGCTCAGGCAGTGAGTGTGGTAAGCAAATTCCAGGCCAACCCAGAGTAGGAGCATTGGACTGTAGTGAAAAACATACTAAAGTACCTTCGAAGGACAAAAGGGTTTTGTCTAGTATTTGATGATAGTTCACTACAGATCTAGGGGTATACTGATGCTGACTTTCAGTTAGATCCAGATGATAGAAAGTTTACATCTATGTATGTTTTCATGATAGGATTGTGAATTGTTTGTTGCTTTTTRCAACAAACAATGGTCCACGGCGGATTCCACAACCAAAGCCAAATACATTGCCACAAGTGAAGCTTCCAAAGAAGTGGTATGGTTGAAGAAGTTCATTCATGAATTGAGAGTAACTCCATCTAGCACATCACCCATTCCACTATTGTGTGACAACACTGGAGCTATCGCACAGGCTAAGGAGCCACGAGCCCACTCGAAGTCAAAGGACTAAAGACAATCCTATTTTTTATGTGTATCTATCTTCCCTGATTTTCATTGCCACTCCAGTTATTGAAACTTTAGGTTTCACCCAATTTAAATAGGATTGTCCCAAATACTGAAATTCTAACCACTGTCATTCTTTACGCATGCATCACTGAGCTAACCTCTTCCCTGTAAGAGACTCCTCCACAACCACCACCCTCAAGTTTATACTATTCACTCTTTCAGCCTATAGAAGAAAGGCCCGAGAAATGACCATCGTGAAGTAGATCTAGAGCTGATATTGTTAACAAGACTTGGTTGAACTGAGTAAGAGCTTTAAAACCTAATATACCCTTTAACTTTGACTTATAGGCTCAATTCTATCTGAAAATAAAAAAGGATACAAAGAATAAACTATGAGATATCCCTTCCACCATCAGCCCTTCAATCGTCACACAACTTGTTAAGAAAACAAGTAGAGAGAGAGAGAGCCTCAACCCTTCTTCCACCACACTTGGTCTATAGGATTAGATGAAATGAAATAGAAAAAGCGAAGATATGCTGATATTGTTTCTCTCACTACCAAGATTGCAGAAAGCCCATTGGGCCATAGCATTTAGCTCCCATGCTACAAATGTAATGGAATTTATAAGAAGAATTAACAAAGTATAAAAGAAAAAATAATGGACAACAAAAATACGCAATGTAAACGGTACACAAAGCTTGGGAGTTGATCCATTAGGCATTGGCGGGTGGCTTCTTTCTCTTAGTTCTAGAGCTTCCATTGATTACACCTGCTTGATTCTTAACTCACAAAACTTTTTCTTCTTCCTATGCAAAAAACCATAACCACCATATAAGATGCTAAGCATTTTTTTTTGTGGCTCTGATGGTACACCGTTCGGTCTTATGACCGGCAAAAGGAACTTCAGTTTTGATGGCGATTATTGTAGTAGGGGAAGAAAAAACTTGAAAAGAATCAATACCTGAGATTGATCCCTAGTCGTCGGTGATCGTTGTTGGTCGCCACCGGTTGGAAGGAAGAGAGGAGTGGGAAGTGTCAAAAACTCATTGACATTTTCGAAATAATGTAACGGCATAGATAGGAGACGTCGTTTACTATAGCCTACACGTTTTAAGCGGTCACATGAATTTGGTCCGTTTAGTGCAAAGAAAGGATGGGATGGAAAAGGAATATATTTTTCCCATTTTTGCATCTAGTGTTTGTTTCCCGAGAAATAGTATGATCAAAAATCATTTTCTTGTGTTTGTTTTCTAAGAAAATTTAATAGGAAACATATTAAACTAAGTTTGTCATCCTTTCTCACCTTCTTCAATGACATTGCATGGTCGACCACATGAATGTGTAAATTTGCCATGTGGAAACCAAGTTTGTATATGGTACTTGCTTGCATTACATTATGTTTCTCATTTCATATAATGTAAGATAATCATAGCTACTAAGTTGATCGCAAGAAAACTAWTAGTAAACCATTCTAACCTAGTTTTCTCTTCCATTGATTCGTTGTTTGAAGCATCCTTCCTCGGATTTAAGTGGATGTAGACTATTTGGTGTGGAAACTTTGTTTTGATACATACGGAATTGGTGTATAGCTTCTTTATATGTGGTATACGAGCAATAAATTGCTTCGCTAAATCAGTGTACCTATTCGCTGCACTTTGCCCACTTAATGTACACTCCAGGGCAACGACCTTTGAAGACAACATAATATTTGGCCATTAAAACTTGTTTAAATCCATTTAGTGTAAGAAACCACTCAACACATGTTCAAATCCATTGAAAGCTTGCCAATGCACTTGGGTCTAACTGGCTAGTAAGCAAACTAAACATCTATTCACCTGTTCAAAACCTATTCATTCATGCAAGAAATTCATTCTTAGAACGAGTTATAACCTACAAATCATTCATTCAAGATCTTGCCAACCTGCTSACATAACATATCATAATAGATCAAGGAAACCTGTTTTAATTCAGCCATCCAATTAATCATTCTCTCATCTATGCATGAAAGCTATTGAATCCCATAAAATGAGATCTTAACCTGATAGTCACACAGTTCAACACTTGTTCAAATCAAGCATTTTAAGATAAGCAAGTATTGGTCATGTTTTCCATCATCACAAWTTTTTAATGATTCAGCTCCCAAAACATCAAGATTACTCCATCAAACAAAGGTTTAGTTCAGTAGTGTTTCAAAATAAAAGAAAAGGTTCAATCATGTCATGTTTAAGCTGTACAATGTTTCCAAAAAACATGTTTAGTCATGGCAAGTTTTAATTTTAGTCACTCAAGCCCAACTTCATGTCCAACCAGGCCTTCCTCAACCCCGGAGCCAATGCATAAAATGCTATTGCCTGGTTTTTAGATTCTGGAAAGTAGTCAATTGCCTTTATGACAAATGTGGGGTTATGATCCCCCAAACAAAGTACATCATCATAAATATTCTCCTTCCTTAACAACTCAATCCCCTTCTCAACAGTAGATTGTAGTGTCGTTGCAATCTCGTGGAGAATCTCTGTAACAACCAGCAACAGTAACACAACATAATATCTGTGATTACTAAATAAAAAAGAAAGAATAGACAATCCATAATCAATCCCCACAAGTGGTAAACATAAGTGGTAAATACTTCGGAAAGTAATCATTCCCCATAATAAATTAGAACAAGAATAGTCAATCCATACAATCCATAATAAACTCATGCCTGTTTGATTACAACATGAAGATTCCAAGATCAACATTATATAAACTGATTAAGTTACCAAGTTCAAAGAACAAGCATTCATGCAAGTTTATTCCAAATCAGTGAAATTATCATTATAAAGAAAAAACTTAAAAAAAAACAGGGGTAGTGAAATATTTGGGGAATAAGAATTAGAACAAGAATGCATGGATTTTGCATCCATGCAAGATTTCGAGATCAACATATATAGAAACTGATTAAGTTAACATTCATGCAAGTTTATTCCAAATCTGTGAAGTGTAAAAGAAAAAAAAACTAAAACAAAAACAGGGTAGCGAAAGAAAATATTAGATCTGAGATCACCTATTACCTGAAGCCAAAATCAAATGTTTTGTTGTTTGTGATTACCTAAAGCAAAAAAAAATAACAAAAAACAACACAAAATCACAAATCCAAGTTCAATCGAAACAAAAAAATGTTTGAATCAAAAGATATATTACTATGTCAGAACAAAGTCCAGATCTAGAACAATCATATTCCAGAATCTAGATCTGGAGATCGTGCGAATAAACTCAAATGACTATCCGGTTAGAAAGCTAGATCCGGTTCAATCGTGTTAGATCTAAGCCTACATTCGCTGGAAACGCTGATGGCAAGGTCTAGATGACCAAGGATGGATGGAGCCGGCAGTTAGATTTCAATGGCCACTCATCAAGCGGAACATGAGAAAAACGGTATCAAAAAGAACGAGAATGAAGAGATAGTGTCGGAACTACACTTACCATCCGATGGGGAATGCTGGAGATGTGACTGTTGGACGAGAAGAAGGAAAGCGACGATGTCTGTGAGAGGGCTATCGACAAATTTTCTTGCCTTTTTTCCTTTTATAGCAAGGTCTCACCAAATTACTGCGACCCCACTTACCCCGATTTTTGGGAACCTGCGTCCCTGGTGTTTCCTTTCCTTTCTCGGGTTTTCATTTGAAACAAACATACAGAAAAAAGAATTCCTATTTGTTTATCGAAAGCCAAACGCACCATTAAGGATGCGTGCTGCGTCTTCCTTCTGCGTAAATGGTGCACGTATAAAGAGTGACCCGACTGAAGCCGAACTCAGTTACCTACAACACACACCCTCCGTCTCCGTGCATTGGCAACATCTCCTTGTGCGTATAGGAGGATGAAAAGTTCCCCATTTGTGGTTGTGATATTATGTGGGTAGATGTGGACTTGTCTATGTTTGTTTTATAATGTGGGCATGGAGGTGGTAGCCTCAAACAGAATGAACATTTTGTTGTAACTTTCATTTTGAATGGGGGTAAATATGGAATAACACATAAATGGTTGTGACTTCGTGTAATCGAGTGTTGTTTCTTTGTGTAGTGTGATTTTCCCTCTTCTTATTGAACCGAACGAATGGCTCCACAACCACAACCTCCAGTCCTCGATTCAGGACTTTTGAAGACTGAAGTTGAGTCTTTTGACTGACGACTAAGGTGAGTTTTTTCTCTCTTACCTCCTCTTCCTTCCATTTTGGTGCATAGAGTTGTGAGTTTCCCTATCCCGCGACTACTTCTTCTTCATTCTAGTTTTTATTTGTTTTTCTTTTTCAGGTGAGAACTTGAAACAGAGTACCACCATCACAAAGCGTGAAGACGGACTAATGAAGAAAGAAGTGAGCACCTTGATTCAAGCCATTTTCAGGTGAGCAATTATAATAATGCCACTTGGCAACTCACTTAGCATTGTGGTTATACTGTTGTCAGCACCCGATTTTTGCTTGGTCTGTCGCCTAAACCCCAATTCACCCAAAGTTCTCGATTAGACCCTTTTGATCCTTTCGAAACACCTAAAAACCCAAGGAACCCAAATTTTAGTCTAAAAACCCTCAAATCCATTGCTAATCTTACCTGATACCTATCCAATGGCCCCGACCGACCCCCACTTACACCTCAACCATTAGATCAGACACAACCATCAGACCCAAGACCTCCCAAAACACCTACCTAAAGGGATGAGAGATCCATCATATGGATGGTCAAACCCTATAGGAAGGTTGGGTGAAATTTCAAAAATTTCTCTCTCTCCCATGTGGGAATCGCATTCCCTATTTTAGAATACTACATTTTCAAAGATCAATCYTGAAACCAAACCGGACCAGATCTTAAACCAAAAGGGAGTAGAGGGATATACCTGATATGGAGTAATAGTAAACCCCCAATGAAGGTCTTCACGCCCAAGGGGAAGACCAAAGACGGCTTCCACCGAAGATGACGTTGTGTGAGATGAAGCAGAATCAGCAAGACGGTTCTTCACCAGAACCGCCCTCCTTTAATTAATCCCATTAAGCCAGTTTGAATTGGGCTTTAGGCCCATTAAGTCCATCTACTCACTTACCCTACAAACTGCTGCCCAGTTGGCTATCATTGTATGGCGGGGGACCCAAACATTGATCTACACATCAGCCACATGGGTTCAGCCCAGCCTTTGTTACAAGGCCTGACCGAATTCACTGTATGAGACAGTGAACCCCTGAGTCCATCACCATGGGCTCTTAATGGGCCCAACATTTACACTAAATGGTCATTGGATCAA